GACACCTTCCCCCAGCCCAGGTTGCTCCAAGCCTCATCCAGCCTGGCCTTGAAGACATCCAGGGATGGGGCATCCACAACATCTCTGGGCAACCAGTGCCAGTGCCTCACCACCCTCTCTGTGAAGAATTTCTTTTGTGGGTACTTCCCTTGTGGGCTGCTACGGTACAGAGGTTCGGTCTTTCTTTACGCAGGTCCGTGACGTAAGCACCATGAAGACAATGGTGTTCCATGGGAAACAACAATTCTTCTGGCAGTCAACAGGAAGCCAAGCTGAAATTGAATTTCATGAAAATGTTAAGGAACACCGAACCAGTTTCTGGGCTGAATATCATGCTGTTGAGCCCCAATAAAAGAGGCCAGGGCCACTGCACTTAGAAGAGCCGTGGTCCTGTTAGCCACTGATGCCTCTTCACTGCTCGAGGTCACTTGAGTCATTTAATCTTTTTTGCAACTGCTTCCCCATCTACTGAGTAAGAACAATGATATCTACTGACTCCTTTGGGATCTCTGTCAATATTTATAAAGGTTATGCCCAAGATGTGTAACTACCAAATATTTAGCACATCATCCTCATGGATTTTCTGCTTGTGTCGATTGGTGTTAATGCAGCTCACAAGTCTGCAGTGAGTGACCTGCACACCGAAGTCTCAGGGTCCTGCTTCTGTAACACGCTGTGACCTTTTAGGACAGTCATTTCATTTCTCAGTGGCTCAGTGTCCCATTACAAACCCCTGAATACCACAAGTGGTACGGTTTAACCCTTACGTTCCCTCTCCTGTGGTATAAATACCCCTTGAAACTGCGGCCTGTTGACATTCTGGAATGCTACAAAGAAGGCAGAGAGGTGTGTGTGAGGATGGACTGCTAGCACAGGAAGGCTGGACAGACGTGTGGGAGCAAGGCAGTGTCTTTGCCCGGGAGAGGGTGGGGCAACGCGGGGGGGGTCACCCAGGAAGCCGATGGAGTCACCATCCTTGAATGTTTGCAGGAGGTGGCTAGACCAAGGCACAGCTGACCTGGCCGAGCCCTGTGACAGTTGGCTTAGTGTGGGAGGACTAAATGACATCCGGAGGTCCCTCCCCAGCCACCCCTTCTGTGGTTCTTACCGTTACGTATCTGACAGTGATACCAGTACTTCTTTTCTATGGGAAAATAAAAGAATTCAATCTCCTAATGATGGGTTTGGTGCCAAGACAGATTTCCTCAGATAACAGTAGCTGTGCTGTGAAGCTACTTGTATCTTCGTCTCACAGGAACTGTGCAACGAGCGATTGTTGAGACTCCATGACACAAGTTGTAGCAGGAAGAGCTATTTTAGAGCAGTGACAAATATTCCCTCAAGTTTGATTTCAATACATTTTTTATAGGTTGTTTTTATTTAATATCTTGAACACTGGACCGTGCTTTGGTCCAAATCTATCATCCTCCTCAAAAATCACAATATACTGCTTAAGGGGTCTTTCCTGCACCTGGGGCCTGGCTGGACACGTCCGCCCTTGCTCTTCACGCTGGATGCGATAAATGGTTCTGCCTGGGCAGGTTTAACCCCGCTTCTGCTTTCTTTCAGTTGAATTCTCTGACATTTTCTTACACCTGCAAAATCTTATTTTCTCCTGTCTGCTTCATAATGTTTTTTTGGTGGTTAAGCCCGGAGTTTTTTGCTTGCCAGCCTCCAGATTTACATTCCATTCCTGGAAGAGCTAGAAAGTAGATTCTTGAAGCGAGATCCTTGAGGAGCTGGATGTGTCAGCTATCCCGACGCAGTGCGTGGGTGATGCAGGCACTGGGCCTTCATTTCCTGTCTAACAGGAGATGTTAATGCAAAGACATCCTTTTCTTAATCCTTTTTTTTTTTTTGGTAACCTTTTAGCAGATGGGATCTGTCTTCCCACTCTGCTCTGGATCCCAAGTCTCACTGCTGTTTATTGTTCCAGATCAGCTCTCAGAGTCCCTGGTCTGCAGAGATGGGCTCCTCGTGCTGACTATGGTCCACCTTCATTTGCAAAAAAAATGCAGCTGTTGTCTTTATAATTTAAGAGAATTACGTGTTTTCCCTGTACATTTGTTTGGGTACCAACAGGTTGCCAACAGGGACATCTCTGACTTGCCAAGTCCTACTCCTGTTTTCTAGGGAGAAAGCCCGACTCCACTCAGATTAAGGATGGTGTTTTCCTCTTTTCTCCAGGGCACAATTTTTAAACACCGATAAATTCCCGGTAATGCAAAGATTCATGGTTCCCTTTCCTCTGAGCACACCCTGGCTGCCTGGGTAACGGCATCTAGCTGTTAGCGGGGGGACGTGGGACCCCGATCTCCCACGCGCCCCACGCCCCGGCGTGGAGAGCATCCCTGCGGCTTATGAATATGTACGTGACAGCTCTGCCCACCAGCCTTTCCCGAGAGTGACATCAAAGCCCTGCCTGCTGGAGGGGGGGACCCACAATGCAATACGCAGGCAGACGTGGAGCTCCCACGGCCGCTGGCATCGCTGCTGCAGGCACAGACCCTCCATTGTCAGCCCTGGGGGGGTCGCGGGGGGCTAGGGCCCGCGGGGAGAGGCAGCGGCAGGGCTGGCTTGAGGGGCTGTCTCCTGGGCCGGCCGGAGGAGGGTACGGGAAGGAGGGAGCGTCACCTGGGGAGGGAGGGGGGTGCATCCTGCTCTGCTGGGGCTCAGGCGGGGAGCGGGGTGCAGCCCCCTGACCCCCCCGGGGTGCCATGAGCTCTCAGGATGAGCAGTTCCAAGCAGCAGCCCCTGACCCAGCGGCTTTCCCC